TCTGTGTCTGTTATTTTATGAAGTTAGGACAGATATCCAAATATTTCTACATAGAGATACAGCCAGTCTTACAGGTAACATTTTTATACATATAAGTATATATATATTATATAGTATTATATATATATTACAGATATATAATTATATGTAATTATAATTATATATGTATACATAATTTATATCTAGTGTACATATAATACATATTATATAATATATACATTACATATGATATATATTACATTTACATTAAAAAGTCTTAAAAACAGATTAGACCACATCAAGTCATATTGTATACTGGGGAAAAAATTTTTCCAAATCTCTGTCCACATACACAGAGATGAAATTAAACTCCTTATATGGCCACTTGCCAATCTTACACAGAATTTTTAGGTATGAGGAACAAAAGAGTTAAACGTGAATGTGCTCTGTAACTTAGCAGGCACTAAATGCATGCTAATTAGTATTATGAATATTTACTACCACACCAAATGCCAATCTATTTCCAGCAATCTCTATCTCTAAATGTGTTTATAGATATAATAAGTTAAAAACCAAAATAACTAAGGGTCGTAAAGTATGAAAAAAGCTTGGTACAATCATTAAAATAAATACAAGTGGGCCAAATTTTATTATTTCAGGATCCAGCCATCAAAAGAATTATTGGCCTTACAAACTGGATCCTAGAAGGAAGTAAGCCTGAATTCACAGACCTAGAATAGGAATTTTTAAAAGTTTACCAAAAAGTAAATAAAATCAGGTAGGCCAGTAAGAATTCTAGTCCCAAAGGCAAACCCAGCCTTGATACTAAGCAATGCCATTATTCTACATGGAATTGTGGTTTCGTTTTTCTTCTTTATCTTGACCGTCGGCCACTTCTTTGGTCTTTAGCACCCCTGAGACTTGGGAGAAGGAATTCCAGGAAGTTTCTTAATACAAGTTAATACAAGTCCTTCATTTCACAATTGGAATTAAGGTTTTAAATGCAGACGATGTGATAACACATGCACTTAAAGCACATCAGAAAGGGCACATCTGACATTGGAGGCTTTGGGTGGAGTTGTGTTGCCTTGGGAAGGAGAGAGGTGGTCCACACACTGGGGGGTGGGGACAGGGTTGGGGTGGGAGGGATGTGTACTTGAAAAAAATGGAGTTCCTGAAGATGGGAAGACGACGAAATCAGGAAATGAGGACTGAGGGAAGAGATATTCGCACCCACGCTCACAGCAGCCCTATTCACAAGAGTCAAAAGATGGAAGCAACCCAAGCGTCCACAGATAGATGAATGGACAAACACAGTGTGGTGTATACACACAATGGCATATTAGTCAACCTTAAAAAAGAAGGAAACTCTGACGTATGCTATAATATAAATGAACCATGAAGTGAGATAAGCCCATCACGAAAGGAAAATATACAGAATGATCCCACTTAATAGGAGGTACCTAGTATGGTCAAATTCGTAGAGACACGAAGTAGAATAATGGTTTTCAGAGCCAGGGTTTGGGGGGGGGGGTGCGGTGGGAGAGTTATTGTGTAACTCAGAGTTACAGTTCAGAGTTTCAGTTTTGCAAGATAAAGGGTTCTGGAGATGGATGGGGTGATGATTGCACAATAGGGTGAATATATTTGGTATCCACGGGACTGTACCCTTAAAAATGGTTACAATGAAAAAAAAATGGTTACAATGGTAAATTTTAGGTGATGTGTGTTTTGCTGCAATCAAAAAAATACTTTGTAACTGAAGTAAAAGATCTTCTAGTTTTAAAAAAAGGAGAAAGGGAAGTAATTTGTCTCTGTCAGGACTATGCCTAGGTCCTACTTCTTTCTGCCACCAAAGGGTTAAGAAAGGACTTTTTGGTTTTTTTAAGAATAGTTTTAGCTTCATGGCAAAATTAAGAGAAAGGTACAGGGATTTCCCATATCCCCCCCAACACAGGCAGTGTCCCCCACTAACAGATCTCCCTCCAGTGCAGTGCAGGAGTCACAACTGATGAACTAGCACTGAGGCTTCCTAATCACCAAAGTCCACGTTCCCACGTGATTCCCTCTTAACGTTGTACAGTCTGCGGGTTTGGAGGGCAGTGTTTTTTCAATGAGTCACTTATATTAAATTATTGAAGATAACTCCATTGCGTTAGAACTCAAAATCCACAGAAGAGTAGATTAAACGTGCATTGAAATAACCAAAATGTATATATTTGCTGCTCAAAGTGCGGGCTACAGACCAGCAACCCCAGTATCCCATGGCGGGGGGTTTAGAGAAGCAGGATCTCAGGCCCTTCCCCAGACCTACAGAAAACAGAATCTGTATTTCTCAAGATCCCCAGGTGATTCGCTGGTCCATTCAAGTTTGGGAAGCAGTGTTGGAAACTATGCATGACTACAAATCGTAATGTTTGACTGGTTGAGATGGAAGGAAAATGTGTCATTAAAACTGCATTACTTTATTGTAAGTTAAATGGAGGAGAAGGTCCATGTTTTACTCTTCTTTACCTTCTTAAAAATAATGAAAGCCAAATCCATTTATTGCCTTGAACATAGAAAATTGAACCACAAGTTTGATTTGACGTCGATGACAGTGCTCTTGGAAGGTTCTATAGAATCAAACAGCAGCTTTGATCAAAGTGAAATAATGGTAGGACCTAACAGGCCAAGCACAAATCTTTCACTGAGTGGCTGACGGTAGTTTTGATCCCAAGAACTCATCATTAGAGCAGAACTAATGCACGATATAATAAGAATATTATTACTTTAAGTACTGACCCTTATAAATGTTCAAGAACAATAAAATTCTGACTGCTGGTGGGGTAACTGGGTGGCTCAGTGGTTTAAGCATCTGACTTTTGGTTTGGACTCAGGTCACAATCTTAAGCTCCTGAGACAGGGCCTTGTGTGGAGGCCCTCCTGGAGCCCCATGTCATCTCTACATAGGGTTCCATGCTTGGTGGAGAGTCTGCTTCTCTCCCTCTGCCCCTCCCCAGCTCACACACTGGCTCCCTTTCTCTCTCTCTAATAAAAATAAATAATCTTTAAAAAAAAATTCTGGTCACTGGTAACGTGATAAAAACCACTTATACCCATAGCCAGTGGGATTCACTTAATGAGACTGAAATGATACAGGACAGAAAAGATGTCCCAAAATGTACACTGAACACAAAGAGGGGGAAAATTTGACCAATGTTAGTATTCAAATTATTTAAAATAGAGTAAAAAAAGAGAGGAAACCCATGTTTGGATTAAGAAGGCCTTCTCCTTGGGATTTATTTTTCCCTGTTGGGATTTTTTTCCTGTGAGTTTATTCTGATGTGTTTTCCCCATTACCTCGGCAGTAGAAAGGCTGAATGTTAAGTTTACACTTTACTCCAGACACAAAAAACAAATTCCTGATAGGAAGACAAAAATCAACAACTCTATCGATAAAACAAAGATGACTGGAGGAGCAGGAAGGGTGGCTGAAGTCAGATTCTGTCCCAGACACCAGCATTCATGACTGGAAAACATATTTCCACTTAATGATGATAATCTCCGTCATTGTGAGCTCTGTCCTCTTTCATTTTCTTTCCCTCTGGCAAACTGCCATTTGCTCTGGCTTTTGCAATAGTAAGAATAAGTAAATTTGACTCAATCAAACCAAATATTATTTTACAAGAACAAACTGGAAATCAATCTAAGCCTTGGCTTGTTGTTTTTGAAATCGATTCTAATTTTAAGCAAGAATTCAGAGAACCCCTGGAGGTTTACATGAGCTCATCAGTAGCAAAATCACTTTTAAGTAACTTTAAACATTTTCCAGAACAAGAAAGGAACTCTTTAAACTGCCAAAACTCTTGGCACATTCCACATGCCCAACGAGTGTTCTTGCTCCCCAAGTGACAGGAGAACTGGAAATAACAACTCACTCCATTGCAAAACCAACGGTGGGTTGTCTGGCTCTGGATTTTCGGGGGTGAAATGACTGTGGCATCCTAAAACTTCATTTGGAGTCCGCAGATGAGGTCTTCAGAGATAAGTTTAATACTCTCATAAATGACTTACTCTCATTTTATCAATCATAGAGAGCAATAGTTATTAATATTTTATTGAGCAAAACTATAAGGTAATAATAAACTCAAAAATGGAGGGGTGGGATTAAGACTCAAGAAGTCACCCTCATGCTGTGAAGACTGTCTCCCGGCTTCGGCCACTGTCAGCTGAAGCGATCTGAACGTGATTTTGTTTAAAGCTACGCTGAAAGCCTTTGGCACTGGTGACAATGTGGGAGCATCAAGCTGGACACGGAAGAATCATGACCGTGTCCCCCTTTCAGTGCCTGCTGTCTCCAGTCCTTAGGAAACAGTGAAATAACAGAGCTGAGAGGGGTTCAATCATACAGTCTGATGACAAGTGAATCTGCTCTGGGAGTGCTAGCCACCTAGATGGCCTAGAAAGCTTGATCTGGAAAGGAAGCTTGAGGACCCAGATACACATCCCGTCAGGAAAGGAAACTGGGATGCCAAGAGCTAAAAGACATCCATCCCGAGAACTCAGATCACCATATAAATAAGATCTTAAACTTGATCTTCCTGCAAATTAATTCCACTTTGTCCCATCACGCAAAACTATGATTCTAGAAACAGGCAAAGCTGTTCTATGCTCTCCTTAAAGCTATTTTTTGCCTCAGTTTTGAGTAGCTATATTTAGACAGCCTCTAAAATGCAAAACTAAGGCACTCTAAGCTATCTCCTGTGGCCTCCAGGGACCACTGGGAGCATTTGGAACTACGCAGAATCACAGAAAAACAAGGAACATGTTTCATGGACACTAGTTTTTCCTGTAGACAGAGACGACTAGGTACTTCTGCAAATACTGGGTCTTTGAGAAGACAGTGTCAACTTTATTGCTTTCTGAAATGCGGTGTAAAGCACGGAACTTTACAGTTTGCACGTAAGCAATTTCCATCTTTAGGTTTAAATATATTTATGGGAGAAAAAGTACATGCATATGAATAGATATCATCTTTTAAATCATCACCATTTACATTAGAAATTTCTTTAGACAAACAACTTAGCTTTTTTTCTTAAAAAAAAAATAGCAACTGGTAAGAACCCTCTGAGACGGCAGAAAATCCAGCTTTCCCTGTAAGCAGCCTTTCACTGAGAGACGTGAGTGATGGCAGATGAAGGCCTCTTAAGAATAGACTCAACAGAAAATGACAGCGGCTCATTCACAGACAGTTTTGTTCCGACTTGTTTGGCTACGAAAAGGTCTTTGGCGTATCTGTCTATTGTAAATGTGTACTTCTGCTTCTCCTTGACTAGACACTCCCTGTGCTTCTTAGGGACCTCTTCAAAGGCCTCTTTGACAAATGGTGTTTGCAACTCAGGACCTGATTTGTCATTAAGAGTTTGCTGGAATAATGAGTGGAATGGATTATGTTTAAGTGGCGGAGGGTGCCTGGCGCTTTCTTTGCTGATCTTGGTTAAGACGTCCCCTTGAGCTGCCAGGGAGTCCGTGTCAACAATGGGAGAGAAATTCCGTCTGGGTGGGGAGAATGCAGACCTCTCGGGGACGGCCTGGTGACCCTGAAGGTCACTTCTCGAGGTCTGGACCTCCGCAGGGTGAGGCAGCAGCAGCGAGCCTTCTAGCTTGGGGGGCGACAAGTCGTGTTCTGCCACAAGTCCGTCCTGGACCCGCACTCCCTTCAAGTCCCAGCCGGTGCCGGGCTTCAGGGCTTGAACCGAGGTGGTGGTGTTTAGCAGGCATTGCTGATAGAGAAGAGTGTCGCTGATGGGGCCACACTTGGGCCAAACTAAAAATCTCGAGGACAAGGGATACTGCCTGTAAGTCGTGGCCACACTGACGTTGGAAGAGATGAGTTCCATATTCCCAGACCCTGAATACTGCATGGTGAGATCAAGGCAGGTGGGCAGGAAATTGCAGAAGTCTTTGTTCGCCGTCTCCACTGGGGTGGGGCTATAGGCGCTTTGGTAGGAGCTGTACTCGGGTCCGTGCCCCAGGCGGCTGGGCAGGAACAAGGCAGTAGCTTGGGACGCTTCCAGCATCTCCCTCTCTTTATATTCTCTCTCCAGCATAATGTTCTCCAACTCTTTATCGGCAAAGGCCCGCCTTTTCCGCATCCGGTCACTAACCGGGGGAGGGAGGGGTAAGCCCCCTCCCACATAAGTCTCGGCTGGAATGGGGCGGTAGCCTAAAATGAGCAAGCATTGCACAGGGAAAGAGATTAACATCTAGGGAAGACAAATCTGGGAGCTGAGAAGGCAACAGAAACACCGCAAGTCAAGTCGGCAGAACCAGAAAAATTTACAGTTCCAAGACACTCGTCTTTTACACAGAAAGCAAAAGTGTAGGCTCAGTTTAAAATAGGTCTCTCGGGGAGCAGGGGAGCGATCCTGTAACTTTCTTTATTGTGCTGTCATTACGGGTGTGTTTGTTTACCTGTCCAGGCACACGTCACTGGCTGGAACTGCCATGCACTTCCCAGACTCCTACATGTTAAGAGACAAGTCTGCCCACCATCTTGCTCAGTCAGTGCTTTCTTACTATCCGTGTCATCTTTCTCCATGGTAAAAAAAAAAAGATCTCTATCCCTAAAGCTGACAGCACGGCTATTTTCTAAAGATGGTTCATTACATACACATGGTTACAGGTGTAGAATAGTCCAAGGAGAGCTAGGGGAAAAGAGAAAGTTACAGCAGATTAGTGGGGAGAGAAAGAGAAGGGACTTAAGGAAACAGAGAAACACAGAAAATTAAAAAGAGCTGTTAACTGGTCAGACTCTACAGGGATTTCAGCAGGCCCCTCCCAGAGCCTGGAGGTACAAACAAGCAAACAAAAGTAAAGGCAGAGAGGAGAGCTGCAGCTACATTGAAAATTACTGAACTAAAACATTCTTCCCAAGTTCTGATCACGCTGGCCAGATCCCAGAATGGCTGAACAAGCCATCATTAGGATAAAAAGTCAGTGCACATTTTATGAACAAGGACGAAGTATTAAAAACAACAAAACAACAATGAAGATTGACATGACATAAGTAGAATTCCTGGTAGCATAAAATCCTTTGAGTATTTCACCAACCCCCAGGACTGGCTGCTCTCAAATTTGTTTGACGTCTCCATTGTGATGTCTCTGTTTACACAGTGACAAATCCATCGTCCTCATTTGCGAATAAAATAAAATTTGAATATTAATGTTCCCATCTCTATGGTAGGTTTTGCCAGGAAGTTATTTACTTGAATTTACTATTCCATTTAGCCCTCCCACTCCTTGAGCTGCTTTGGCACCATTTCAAGTTATCCCTGTGGTCCCTATGGCTAAATATCTGTTTACCCAGTTTGCAACCAAATTCATTTTTAATGCATGAGAAACCATTCTAAGGTCAGAAGTATATAGTACAGAGTAAGACACGAACAACCTTTAAAACCTGCGTAGAACCAACTCTGTTCAGAAGCCACATAAGAAAAAAAAAAAAAAAAACAGAATTCAAATATCTACTTTAAAAAAAAAAGCCTGCTTTTCAACCCGAATCTTATGAAGAGACAGTGATTAGAACAAATATAAACTTTCCTTTATTTAAATGGTGAAAGGTAGTCAAGATATTATCAGATCAATAAATAAATTCTATTCCCAGAAAATCAGCAATAATCTAAGAAGAATTAATGTATCCCCAGGCTTTAGACATGGTAGAGAGAAAGAATTCACGCTGTTCAAATTCAGCTTCAATCTCCACTTTCCTCGTTTGATTCAAAACCTCTTCCCAATTCTACAAACTTGACTGTCAGAAATGGCCAACTGAGGTGCACAATAACCACAGTTACATAGCTTCTCTGGGGAGGAATACAGTACGATGAAAAACAGTGGCGTTAGAGGGTGGGTCAGCCCGACTAGAGGTCTTTACCCACGTGGCTAGCTGCTGACCTCCTCACTTGACTGATTCTAGCTCCAACGACAACCAAAGAAATTTTTTAAATTGATGTCCTTCCTCACCCCGTTATCAGGTGACAGTGGATCTTTGCACACCTCTCATGCTAGGGCAAATTCCAGACACACTCCATGTTCACCCCTTAACTATTAAGCAAACAACAACTACTAAGCAGACAGCAGAATTATCGGTGAAGAAAACCTCAGGAGGGATGTGAGATCCATTTTCCCACATCCTGATTTCCTCCCCAGAGCAAAACTTCCTAATAAAAAGCACCGTCCCCTCAGACTGCTCCTTCACAGGTTAATAAAAACGCCATATGTGTGAATAATGGGAATCCCTCAGAACTTGGTTTAAAAGGCTAAAGAATAATTCTGCATTGCTTTACCTTCTAAAATGCTTTTGGCCAGCAAACTGGGCGCCCTGACTTGCCTCTGATACACAGCTTTGCGCTCGAAATTATTCTGCTTCCCGGAAAGCCCCTTCTTGTCCTGTAAACACAAGAAACATAATCAACACTGGCCTCAAAGAAGTTGTGGGACGGGAGGGACTAGGAAGTGGCATCAGCAACCCTCCTCGTCTAAATGTACTTACTTTGCCATCCCATGTCAAAAATGACTCTCAACTAATTTACACCAGCACCCCTTAATTCCAGGACAACGAGCTGGAAGGTCGGAGGCCACCAACTTCAACTGATGGGGAGTGGGGCAGATTTTCCCTGGGTCCACTTTGGCTAGAGTCACCCCAGATTCATTCCACAGGTAGAAATTAGGGGACATCCCACAGGAAGGCAAAACCCACAGTGGAGACAGGAGCCAGGCCCTGAAGGAGAGCTGTGGGGTACAGCTGCGTTCCAGGCACCCAGAAATAGGGTCAAAGGTGCCCATGGCCTGCCACTGAGCAGTGAGGCGGAGCTGGTCCCTCCTCGCAGTAGGGCAGGTGCGATGGGGAACAGGGGGTTGAAGGACAGATATGAGGGTACCGGTCTCGCAAACCGAGCCTGGCTAAAAACACTGAAAGACTGGGACACAGGAAGGCAAACAAAACCCTCAGAGACCCCTGGCAGGGAGGACAAGGAGAAACACGACTTCGCTCCCTCCCTCACCGCCAGGTCTGTGGTATTCTGGGCCCTTGTACCCCCGCGTTCAGCCCTGCAGGCTAGGAGGACCCGAGAGGGACCCTGGAGACCGAGGTGAAACGTGGAGCAGGCGGGGGCAAGCCCAGCCCAGGGCCAAGGCCACCTGGGGCATCCAGCGCACACTGGGGGGGGGGGGGGGCTTGGGAACCTTTCCAGTAGGGTCACTGTCCTCTGTGTGCATGGTGATCCATTCCCCAGGCCCCTCTCGCCAAAAAGTAAACGCAAAACTCTGGGAAAGGGGACCCCGCGCAGCCTCCCTAACTCTGAGCTCTCCGTGCGCAGGAACACAAGGAAACCAGAAACCCGACGTTCAAGAAGAGCCTCCCCCTTAAAGAAAACCCTGGCACGGTGCGAGGCAGCAGGGATCTTTCCTGCGGGCACCTCATTCCCCTTGCCAGTGTGGTCTCCTCTGTAAAATGGGCAGCTCGTGTGCCTCTCTGAAAGGGCCCGTGACAGCGGCAGCGCTGAGCGCACAGCCCGCTGCGTGGCTGTCCTCCCGAGACCAGCACTGAAACACGGGGACGGACGACAGAACTGGGGCACTGCGGCTACCACCGTCCTCCTCCCCCCAGCACCACCAAAATAAGCCTTAACATTTAAAAGATTTAAAAAAAAAAAAAAAAAAAAAAAGGGCTTTCCCACAAAGTCCCGAGCCACTTTCAAGGTCTCTCCGCCTGCTTTTAATACAAAACTTTTCCGGGCAAGTTCCCTCAGCGATGCCCGCGGCCGCCTCTCCACCCCGCGGGACTCCGCGGGCCACGGGGAGCAGAGACGCGTCCTCCCCGGCCTTCCCGGGAAGCGCCAGGCGCCGCGGCCCCGGGGACGTCCCTCCCCGCGCCCGACCCCCACGGCGGGCGGCCCGGCTCCCCCGCGAGGCGCGACCCCAGGCCCGGCGGGCACGCACCTCAGTGGCCTGCTGCCTCCGGAGCGCCACCTGGGCGGCCATGACGCGCTGGCGCTCCACCACCAGCAGGCAGTTGGCGCACTGGCAGTCGCGCCAGCGGCAGAAGCGCTTGTGGCCCTTGAGGCAGGACACCACGCCGTGGTTGCGGCAGCGCGCGCACTTGGGCGTGCGGCTGAGCTTGCGCGGCTCCGCGCCACCGCCCGCATTCGCGCAGCGCTCCGGGGGCCCGGCCGGCGCGGGCGAGGCCTGCGGCGCGGGGCTTGGCCCCGGCGGTGGTGCCCGCGGCTGCTCCGGCCCGCCCGGCCCCCCCGGGGACGCGCTCGCGTCCAGGCCGTCGCCCTCGTCCTCCGCGTCGTCGTCGTCCTCGTCGTCTTCGTCGTCCTCGCCGTCCCCGTCGGCCGACGGCGGGCTGGGCCCGGGCGGCGTGGGCGGCGGCGGGCCGCGGCCGTCCTCCTCCAGCTCCAGGCTCTCCACGTCGATCTCCCAGTCTCCGGCCGCCGGGCCCGCCGCTGGCCGGTCAGCCATGGCGCACTGCGCTCCGCTCCGGCCTACGCTCAGCCTCCTCCTGCGCTCTGCGGAGACACGGAAAGACCGCAAGAGGCACCGACCGCCGTCAGGCACGGACCCTCGGCCTCGGGCCCCACGCTCCCGGTCCGCCAACCTTGGCCCCTTGAGGACCCCTGTTCTCTACACGTCCCTCAGTTCCACACCACAGCGCCTTTCTTGTATCTTCAGGGCCCCAGAAATCCCCAACCCAACAAGGTTTTTATCTATTGATTCTAAGTGCTCTATGAGCACCTGACCTTTAACCACAGACTCTCTGGCTTTACACCCCCTCTCGGGACAAGTCCCTAGGAAACGCGTTGATCACACACACCAAAGTATTGTGTCCAACTAGGCCGGCCTAGTCCGCTCGTCAGGCTTCCCCACGTCCAACTACTATGGCCATGATGAACAGGACCACGTCCATGGGAGAGCCCTCTTCCTTTAGAGCACAGGGGCCCTTCAGACGCAGCGAAGTACCATCCTACACCTTTCAAATGCCTCTCAAAAACAGGGACCCCATTTTGAGCTTGGAAAGGGCCTTTCATGTCCCCCACCCCCAGCAAATAACTCAAAGCCGAAATTGTTCTTCTGTCAGATCCCCATAAGGACACGGGGCATGGAGCTGCGATGCTCTTCCAGTATCAATAGGCGTTGAGCCGCGCAGGGCTGAGCTGCAAGGTCTCCATATCGACATCAGGCACGGTTTGCACGTACAGGCAAGACATGCACGTAAAGTAGAAAAGATAAGAAAAGGTGATATTTGCCCTCCCTGACACCCCAGCAACATCACGGCACTCACCAAGACTCTGAGGCCCGGGCCTGCAGCCGAGGCAAAAGTTATCCAGCCTTGGGACCTGGCTCTTGGGCTGCTGGCAGTGCTTGCGAACAGAAATCGGGGTCGCCACACCCTGCCACGAAATCGGGGGCTGACAGCTGGAGGCCTGGAGCCCAGTGGATGGGGAGCAGGGGAGAAGGGTGGAGATGATGAATCAAGTCCTCAGCGGCCTCGCTCCGCACATCCCGGACTCTGCAAAGTTCTAACCGGTCCTTGGCACCCCCGAGCGCTTCAACCCGCTAAAGCTGCTTTCGGCTTCCTCTCACCCAGTCTGGGCGGGAAGGCTGGGCCGCCCTGGCCTGGCTCAGATCTCGGGATCTAGGGGCGGGCGGGCGCACGCAGCTGCGTGCGGCGCAGCGCCCCTGGCTGCAATACTCAGCCTCTGCTCCCCTTCCTAGTATTATCGGCTCCGGGCCCCGAGCTCCGCGCCCTCTAATTGGACGGTTGTCAGGCGGTGTGCACGCTGATTGGCCGATGCGCGCCGGCCTGGCGCTCTCCGCCTCCTCGCGGCCGTGGCGCCCCTCCCACCCGCGCTCCTCTCGAAAATGCTCCCGCGCGGCGTTCGGTGCAGCCGGGTCTTTGGTCCCAACGTTAATTCCGAAGTGTGACGGCGTCTGCTGGGGTGAAGTCGCCATTTATCCCGCGGACTATAGGAAACAAGCAGAAACACACTCTTACGGATCGCATTGTTCACAGAGAAGGCAACAGTCAAGCCAGCGGTCAGAAAGGCTGGTGTTGATCTGCACGTTATCAGCATCGCCCGTATTCCGCGCCTCGGTAATTAACCGAAAGCTGGGCGCGGAAGTGTGGCCTCTCCAACCCGGTGCGCAGCGACATCCTACTTTCTCCTGCAACACTAAACCACGATACCTTGCATCCCCCAGCGCCAGGTTGGCGGACAAGTGATCTGTAGATATTTCTGTGGCCAGCTCCGCTCATCCTTGAAGTGCAAAGTAGTTAACTCATTAACTTCCACCAAACCCGTGAGGCCGGCAGGTGGCCAAGGCACCCACATCACTTACATTTTTCTCCGCTGTCAATTATTGTTACAGTTGATGGGGGAGCGGAAATACATGCTATTAGGAGATTTAAGTGCAATATACCCACTACAAGCATGTTTTCAAACGAAGTTGTTTTTTTAAAGGATGACTTTTTAGTGTGCATGAGTGCACTTATAAAGAAAAAAGAGAGACTTTCTACCGTCTGCCTCAAAAATCCCTTACGCAAATGATTAATAACAGTTAAATTTCCGACATGCTCGAAGAATTAGTCCCCTATTTCAACGTTACATTTTATTTCTTGAAATGAATTTAGAAGCCCTTAGACCCACTTCTAGGAACACCTTTAAATAATCAGTGCCTCTCAGGATCGGTTTAGGAGAGGCTGGGAAAGCGCCACTGCACTGGGCACACAGTAGGCCTGCGGTAAGTGTGTGTTAAAGGAAGGAAATTGCTGAACTGATTCTAGCCTCTCTCTTCTCAGAGCCCGTGGAAAGAAGTTAACCAAGTTCTGAGCGGTGGAAAGGAGGAAGTTGATTACTGTCAAAGTAACGCGATCGGCCGGCGGGACGCGCAGGTACTCTCAAGCTTTTGGCGGAGTTACAGAGTTCTTTCCTAGTAACCAGACACTGGGATTTCCCTTTGTGCGGGTGCTTCTCCCCGAAGCCTTTCGCGATGTCCAGGGAAGGAACCAGAGAATCCGTCCTGATGATTGCAGTGCGCTGCTCAGTTGCTCTGGGGCGTCTCAGAAGGTAAATTAGGAGCTGTGCGCGCTCAGACACGGGACAAAGCGTCACGCAGACCTTTCGTGCCTCTCGCTTGGCCCCACTAATAATAACACCAGTGAGTTTTATTACCTTTTTCGTAGTTTCTTATATTCGTCTAAGTGCATTTGTTCACTTACGTTAGAGCGTTTGAATTCCTGACAACAGAAATGTGTTATTTTCCCCCATTTTGTCCAATGACGACTCTGAGGTTCAAAGAGGAGCCCAGTGGTCTCCGGGAGCCCTTCGCGACCCGACCACAAAGACTCACAATGGGTCCGCGTTTTTTGTTTTTGTTTTTTAACTTTATTCCCCTGCTCCCTGTCTGACATTTGTACCTGGCGTTAGGAGCAGCCCTCCTATAACAGGACACAGCACGTTTTTATCAACTATTTTGCGACTATTCCTGCTAGACACATTTCTGCTTTTGCAAACACGCATTTCAGTGCTTCTCCCCCATGACGTGAAAGTGAAGGACAAACCTTCGCCGGAGCCAGCCCCGTGTGCGCGCAGTTGGCTCCCTGGGCTTTTATTTCATTTATTGCTTTTAGGAGGGTAGTATATGAGGTCATCATTAGCCCTTCACTAGTTCTTTTAAATGTTAAGAAACAAAATCAAGAAAGTAGGTTTGCTAATGTGGGGTAATAGATCGAGGGGAAGGGGAACTGGGAAGGAACGAGAGAGCAAAGGGACACTGAATGGCAATTTCCTAAACACAAAATAAACCAGACAGACAGCCCTTGAACTAGTTGGGAGTTGTAAAAGCTGCTACATAAGGAGGAAACAAGAGGGATTTGTGTACAGTAAACCATGCGGGCGAACCTAGGACTGGAGCTGGGGACTGGGGGTGTAGGACATAGTAGGGCCCAAGGACAGTGGCACCGGCTCCCGGGACTCGGAGCAAACCAAGAGAGCAAGGTCCTGAGAACGTGGGTCAGCAGGACCGGCTTCACCAGCCCCGAGGTGGGGAAGGCGGCTCTTCTGCGCTTGCGGAAGGCACCTGCCGGCAGGTTTCTGGTGGGTGGGCGCAGGGCCCTTACCTTCTCAGCACTCCCCCACGCCTGGCAGAAACCTACAAGACAGCCTCCATAACTCCACACCTCCCTGCCCAATTCCACAAGTCCCGCTCCGCTCCACCCCACCCCTACCTGTCCACCACCTTCCCTGCACCCCATCCGCCAAGGGGAGGCGCACAGCTGTAATCGCGATCCAGTAAATTACACTCTATTCCCTGGCCCCGAATGCCCCCCCTCCTTGGGTATCCCAAGTCCAACAACCGCTTAGAAGTGAGGTATGTGGGAAGGGAGTGGGGAAATGGATGTTTTTATCTTGAGATGAGCTTCAGGAAGTCTGAGGGACTCCAATATTAAACAAGAAATTGTCTCCATTTTTCTGGGGAAATGAAAAGAGAATCTACGGTTGCATAAAGTGGCTAGTAAATAAACCGTGCGGAAGCAGCAGGAGCAGAGAGCCCGGGCTCTAGACGGGTTGGTCCACTGACCACGTGATCTTCTTGGTCAATTCTATCTCTGAGCCTCAGTTGCCTCATCTGCAAGATGGGAAGAGAAGCTTTCCTCGGCAGTCTTCACCTAGCGAGAACAGCTCAACGAATGTTCCTTGGTTGGTTCTGGGCCCGGCCGCGGAAAGGCGGTGGGGCTGCTCGACGGAAAGGCGAGGGACCAGGGAATCCAGATTCTTTCTCCGGGTTCCTCTCTAAAAAGGAGTCAGGCCAGGAGTCTAGGACCTGTTAGGTGAGGAAGCAAGTCCCTTGCCAGGTAAACCACCAAATTACCAAGTGCAAGTCCGAGTCCCTCTTGTAAATGACAAAGCAGCGGGGCCGCCAGTGATGTGGCGAGTCTGGCTTGGTGGGCGAGGCCCGCAGAATCTTCTTCTCTCTTAACTGCTCAGCTCCTCTCTCAGCTTCCTTCTCCCTTGCCCCCCAAATCTCTCTCACCCTAACCGCAGCACCACTCTCCACCGCCCCCCCCCCGTTCCCGCACAGCTCGGACCTACCCGGCGCGAAGACCCCCTGCCGCAAGTCCATCAACAGAACTTTTAACAAGAAAGCGGAAGGGAGGGAGGGTCATTTTCTTCTTTTTCTTTTTTTTTTTTTTTTTCCTTCAAATACCGCTCCAAAAAGAAAAAGAGGGAAGCGTGTTTCGGATCAGCCCCGGCTCACGCGTGGATCCGCTGCGGCGCCCCCCGCTGCCCGCTCCCGCGCCCCGCCCGCCGTGCGCAGTGCCTCGGGCCCGCGTGGCCACGCCGGCTTGGGTGCGACTGGAGGGCGCTTGGCTTCCCCTGCCAGGCGGGCCGCCTCTCGCCCGGTTCCTAGAGCCCTAGGCCGCCGGAGCGTAGCGGGCCGTGGCCGGTTTCCGGGCGGTGGCTGGGCGCGGGAGACCGGGCTTGGAGGCCGAGCGCCGGGGTTTCGGAGCCGGCAGAGGGGCTTCCAATGCGGGCTCTGCCGCTCCTCGGCTGGGCGGTAGCGAAGAACATCCTTCAGCTCCCTCTGCGCCTCCCTCTCCCCAACTGCGAAGTGGGGTTAACCTTAAAGGACAGGACACTGTAGATCCCCTGGCTCGGCGACCCGGCCCTACTGACCCCGGAGTACCTGGAAGTTGTTACTTGTATCAGTTTATGGTTGTCATTTTAACTCCGCGAACCAGCCTGCAGAAAGCGCGAGGCCCAGGGAGATTCCAAGCCCGATCTCCTCCGCGCCCGGCCCTGCCCCACTTTCCTGCTTCCCAGGCCTGGAGACCAAGCTGGACCCGGGAGGACCCCCGCCTGCATCACCAGCCTGAGACGCCGCCAGCTAGATCAGCCTGCCGCGAGCGCCTGGGGTGGTAAAGAACGCTTGAAACTTCCGCGTCTCGCAGAAGTGATTGCTGTGGCCGGTTATGGCTCTGGTTTCTCTGGAGATGAACTCGAATCCACCTCCTCTCTCGGGAAACTACTTTTAACATTGTATCCTCTCACAACTTTGACCGGCTGTGGACGCAGCAAAATAAATAATCCCAGATGGGATTGCAGAGATATGATTTCCCAATTTGCTTTGCGTAATCAAATATACGACCTGTCACAAGCAAGGGGGCCGGCGGGGGGCAGCTTTCGGGAGATAACTGTTCTCCCTTTCCTTGCTCCGCGTGTCCAAAAAAAAGCTGAACAACAGGACAATGCGATCTGGGTTCTCCTCCCTCCTCCGCATGAAGCAGGGTTTAAATCACAGGCATTTGAAACCGAGAGAGACATGACTAGTCCAGAGAGGAAAACTGAGGCTAAGAGAAGCGCATGGGATTTGCTAGGGAGGCACACAGTGGCCGTCCTGGACCCACGGGCCCACAGTAACTTCTCAGGCTCCACGGTGCCTCCATACAATTAAAAAAAAAACAGTGCCCTTTGCAGCGGGTGTGGCGTCTGATGC